TGAAACATGCTCCGCAAACATTGACCAGATAAAACCATTCTATAATCGTAATAAAATGCCAATATTTAAAGATCTTTTGCAGGATCCGGCACGGCAGGCACTGCAGGCACAAACTCCAGAGGTGGAACAACGACAATCACAAGGGCAAGCCATTAGGAGGCAGAAGCAATTGAAAAGAAAGTTTCCCCGTTGGAAAATTGAAGGTAACAAGAAAAAGAAGCCGTTCCACCGACCAGAAAAGAGAGAGCACGAACACCCCCAGAATGAAGAAGGGAGAAGTACGACGAATGCAAAGAGAGCCAGGAGAAATAACGGCAACTATAACCCGGCTCCCAAACGGAAGATCTACCCATCAGACAGGAATCTGCGCAGCAAATGTCGACGAATTGATGAAGGAAGACCAGCTGCGGAGGTAAAGAAACAAGGAAAATTTGAACAGCCAGCAACGAGATCCATGCAGGAACGAGAGAGAGTTGTCCCGGTTCCGCCAAGACCAGCTGCCATCAAACGGCCGAGACCACAGGCAGAGGCTAAAAAGAAGGTTTTCAAGGGTGACCAAACTGGAAGGAAAAGAAAGCTCATGGAGGAAGGAACGGAAGGGCGAACCCGCACAAGAAGGAAGATAAACCAAACCGTAGTCTTCGCTACCTTCCAGGACTGGGCAGAAAAAAGGATGTCGGAATATCACAAAGATAAATCTCTGGAATGAACCAGATTTCAACTAAGAACTCCTGTTTAGATGCAGTACAGATGAAAAGTAATTGTCCAAGGAGTTGATAATGTAAAAACGACTTTTTTTTAATTTCTAGTTTCTAGTGAGAAATGTTTGAAAAAGTTTGGCCTCGCGTTAGATTCTAGAGCTAAAAGTTTTCAACAAGGTCGTTTTAGACCTCAGTTTCAAACTAATTAACTCTGGCGGGAAGTATGTAAGGATCTTAAGTTTTACTAAAGTTTATTTTATGTTAAATCTTTACTATCACTTCTTATTTTCTACTTCCGGCCAGAATTAAAAGTTTTAACTTATTTGTGCAAATTTTTCTTGCGAACGGCAAAAACTTAAGTTGTGGCTTTTTGCCAAGCAAGAGAGAGGAAGGAGCTATTAGAAGCAGGCCGCTTGCCATAGTAGTTTTTAGTCGGTTGCTGGTTGCCTTCAAGGCCAGAGGTTTAATACTCTTGATAATTTTAAACGTATCGTAGTGTTAGCAGTTCTCTGTACTACATACGGCTTTTTATTAATATACGGCCAATCTTGGAGTTAGGCACTTGTTTGATTAATCCAAAGTTAGTTTAGTTAATATTTTTATATTCTTACGTTCAGACCACAAGTGGTTGGTCTCTGTTTTCCGAAGTCCGGAATCATTTGTAAAGAGAGAAAAATAAAGGGTTTCGTATACCCTTCCTGTGTGTATTGTCTACTTCCCAAATTTATTGAACATAGCTTTAGTAAGCTCCCTGTTCCGAGTGAGGACAGTTAATGTTCCCAAAGCAAGTAAGGAGGAAAACAGAACCTGATATCCTCACATATGCATAGATCTGAAAGTGAGATATTCTTCTTGTAGAAATATGTGGGTAGTCTTGTAGAAATTTGTAGGAATTTATTTTTGGATGTAGGTCGTATGTGCGCCTGCTGTGTTCGTAAAAATTCGACGAGTGCTACCATACTTTTTTAAATGTATTTTTGAGTTTTATCTTAAGATGAGAGCCTGACCATGCAATGGGTAGTTTTGTTGCATTAATGCCCGTAATTGATAGGGCATCCACTTCACTGTTGTGCTCCATGCTGACATTGATCCATAATATTACGAAATGCAGGTTGGCTGTGTTAAAGGCAGTGTTGAAGATTTCCTGGATTATTGAGGATATAATCTTTGGAGGGTCTATTGCGTGCATGGCAGAAAAGAAGCTACCTGTAAATAGATGGGAGATTTTATAGGGGTAATGAATATTGAATTTTTAATGGTTTTAATGGAATATTTAATGGTTTCTAATACTGTAATTGCTTCTGTTTGGAATACACTATTTCCTATAGTTAGCTGAAACATTTGCTCTTCTGCGGACTGACTGCTAAGACAGACTTTAAGCGGACAATCCTTTTCACACTCTGTACCAAAGTCATTCGCGTATATTTGTAGGAATGTTTTTATGAACGGCTCTTTGTTGATGGAGAGAGTTATATTATTCTTCACTGCAGGATGTCGCTCATACGGGTGTGAGGCTAGGAGAATATTCTGCTTTGAATTCTTTTTCCATTATGGTTAAAATTCTTTCATAAGTGCATAATCTCTTTTTCCTACTATGCATAATCTCCTTTTCCTACTATGCATAATCTCTTTTTCCTACTATGCATAATCTCTTTTTCCTACTATGAAGAGAGCGGGAGGTTTAGCAATCTGGCAAAATGCAGGATTTGATGTTTTACTGTATCCTCTGGTGTAATAGAAAAGAAATGGTCTTTCAGTTATTTTCAGCTTTTTTCAGTCTACAGGTAGAAGTTCGGTTTGCCCAAACTGCTGCTCCGTATAGAACAATTGTTTAGATAACACAGATATAAATCAGCTTTTGTAGTTTCGTGTTTATGCCCCACACAATTCCTTGCATTCTCCGTAGGTTTGTTGCTATTTTAGAGCTATTTTTTGACATAACCGAGATAGCTTATAAAGTTAAATTTGTTAACTGTAATAATGTCGAGATATTTTATAGATTTTACGATTCTGACCGTTTTATTCTCGATATGTAAATTGGGGGCATGGAAAGTTTCTGTTATGGCTTGTTGGAAGTAATTGTTTGTGAGTTTCCATGAGATATGATTAATTCTTTCTGGCTTGTATAACTCATTATGGATGTTTAATGCGTTATTTACATTAATATCAAGCACATCTCGAGTTCTGCCATTGACAACAAAGATCGCATCGACAACGAAGGCTATGCCTTTGGTGTGTTACGGCTATTTATATTGGGTAATTTTATCGAAAGCCAGATTTCAAAAGTACTTGCTAAGGCAAGAGCTCTGCGAAAAGCTTCTTTCTTGCTTCTTTTCCATTAGCCTCTTACGGGATATAATAATACTTTTTCTGTATGTGAAGTAGCTTAAGTTTCATAGGTATATTTCGGAAGGTTTCATAGATATGTTTAGGGTACCTGAAGTCCCTGAAATGCCTAAAAACCAGAGAGATTCATATAGCTTTTTAAGATCGAGGTAGAGTAAAGGCGAATGCAGACAGACTGAAGATTTAAAAAATAACACACACGTTAACTTTTAGTTGAACCAAAAAAAATAATTTAAAAGCATTTCAAATAAGGCTATTACGCATTTATTGCCTTATTGCACAACCTATTTGTGCGAACAAGGATTTTCTTCCATGTTGCATTTGAAAAATAAATACAGAACAAAGTTAAAATTGGATTCTAATTTATGATTAAACCTAATCGAACTAAGACAAGACATAACGAAATTGATCTCTCTTAAACAGGCCTGAATTTCACACTAAATTTTAGAATAAAAGTATTATAACTTAAATTTTGCTAATTAAAATAGCATCCAATTTTTAATCTAATATTTTTTGTGTGCATATTTAATACAAATATCCAATAGGTTGTGCAAATGGAATATATATATATTAATATTTCTATTGAGAAATTGAAAAAAAATGTCATTGCAAAATGTAGTGGTGGTACTAAAATTTTCCAATATTTGTTTAGATGGTACGCTTTAGTAAAAGTTTGAGAATCGATGGGATAGATGGTACTTCTATTCGGATTGAATCTGAATTGGAAATGACTTGTATCGTTTCCATTCTTAATGTGATGTCTTAGGCGGTTTGCAAGAGCTCTCTCAAAGACTTTATTTAAAGATATTAATAAATTTATAGCAACATCGGCTTGATACATTTTGCCTTTTGTCTTAAAAAAGGAATAGTTTCCCCCATTTTGAAGCTGAAGAGAACTAACTTGGCTTGCAGACATTTATTAAAGGTTTTAGAAGTAAGCCTGGAAATTGTTTGTAGAGGATTTTGATCAAGGAAATATCAAGGTAGATCAAGGTAGATATTTGACTATTCTAGAGATTTCAGAGTTGAATTGAGAATCATAGCCTGAATTTGGGAGATGTAACATTTTTCTTCTTTCTTTGTGCAGAGTTGAGTCTTTCTGTGAGTGGTCGCTGCGTAATACATTATTCATTACACTTCTAATGCTTTCTGTTGTAGCATCTCATGAGCTTCTGGTATTGTTTATTGACTGCGGAATTGTAATTTGAAAAAGCAGAAAAATGTTATTTGAATAAACCTTGTGTATAGGTCCGTAGGGATCGTAGGGATATTTGCTTTCTGTTATAAACTTTCTTCAGCATTTTAATTTCGCTTTTGTATATTGCTCTGTGTTTTGCTAACAGCAGGTATGCATTTGAGCTTCCTTTTTTAGATCATGCTTTCGTAAGGCTGTGGTTTCATTTCGAGGGTCTCTTAATTCAGTTGTCCCCCAACTAATCTTTTTGATATTACTGGGACTTTCAATATTAAATTATTTTCGCAGTGATTTTAAATTTTTTGAAAAGTCGTAAGGGCGGTTACTATCAGGCTGAAGTTTATCCAGGCAGTCTACGTAGACAGACAAAGCGAAAATTATATTTTTAAACTATAAAATATTTTAATGGTAATTTTAAACTATTATAACTCTAATTATGGAACCAATTCTAGCAGATAAAAACGAAAACCGTTTCATATTTGCACGTGATTCGATAATGATCTTAAGGAGGCTGTTGCACTTGATGAAATTCATACAATAGTGGTTTGAATGATTTGTAGGAATATTTGCAACAAAAAATATGCATGAAGAATACAAATTTCACCAAGACCAAAATATTCAAATGACGACATTTTACTACCATTTCATCTCCGATTAATTTGTAAAAATAAGCTAAAATCTCTTGAAGGAAATGTCCAGTTTTGCAAATAGAATCCTACTGATTTTTGCTAAAATACAAAGCATAAAAACTTTCTTACACTATATGGGCTCCAGGTATGTTTGGGTCTCCTTTGTCTAGGCACAGGAACATAAGGTATTGGAGAGGCCGGGTAAGTCGGGGCAGAAGTTATCGAATGCATTCTGGAACGAGCTCTGACATATCTTGCTGGTCTTATTGTCAAAGGTGGGTGAACGGGAGTCATATGATGCAAGAAAGAATTTCCATTCACAGCATGATTTATTGGAATCTAATTGGTGTATAGAACTTCTTTATTAGTAAATGCAGCAAAGCACATTGAAAATTTAAATGCTGTGTAATAAACAGTTTATTGTAAGAAGACGGATTATACAGAATTTTAAATATAATGAAATTAGATTTTAATTTTCTAATTCAAAATAATTGGCACGCAGCTTTTAACATACTAAACTCTCATTTTATTTATACACTAGCGGGCTGCGGCCAAAACAAAATTTACAAGTTCTATGTATGCCTGAAAAGAAAATGCATAAAACATTTCAATTTGAATAAAATCAGTTCATTCTTTACAAGCAATAAGCATATCGTAAATATTTTTTTAGTTGACAAACCAGGAAATAAAAAGTTTTTGATACTTCAGGTTAATACTTATACGTATGATGTCATGATTTTCAGTCCACTGAAAATTTTTCGTTTCGTGGACGAAAACGTCACGGAGAAAACATCGCAAGGCGAAAACGTCGGAGAACAAAACATCGTCAGACAAAATAAAGCAAAGAGTTCTAAAACATCGTAGTACAAAACATCGATACAGTTCTAAAACATCGTGGTACAAAATATCGTCGTCGAAAATAAAGCGGTTCAAAAATCTCGCAGTTTGAAAACATCGTCGTCGAAAGTATCGTTGTAAAAAATAAAGTACCTACAGAAATCATCGCATGCCGATAACATCTCAGACATGTGTGTTTCTAGTTTTAATAATTGTAAAAGGATGCTTTCATATTGATTTGTGAGTACAAGATGGAAAGAAGGATAGTTTTTATTTTCATATTTTTTTATTAACTAATAAATTTTATTAACTAGGCAGCTGACGATGGTGGTTCGGTTAAACCATCGAAACTAGTCCTGTGAAAATTTGAAAATATAACGCTGATTTTTGTTATTTGACTTCTGAATTAGTATTTGTTCGGCGTGTATGTTCTTAATTATAAATATTTATGAAAATAGAAATGAACTTAAGCATGGAAATTAATGCAACTTGTAGCACTTAAGACAATTTAACTGACATCGTTAGTAACAAAGGTCATTATAAATTATTTTTTATATAGATTTTAGTAGTAATTTTCATAAAGGTTAATCTAAAAAAATCGAAAAAATAGACAATAACTGCATGACTTTATCTAAAAAAATTGCCAAGCTAATTATGAGATTATTTTCTTAACTTTTGTTAATTATACTCTATAGTGAAAATGATTATTGTTTGTTAATGCTGTTCTGTTCTTAAAAATTTATTAGTTATAAAAATATAAGTAAATACATTTTTCCACTTGCGCTCACAAATCATTAGTGATTCCTTACTGTTATTAAAGCTAACGAACGCATGTCGCGCTGTGACGTCAGTGATGACTGTAGTAGTATTTTTTTTACCACGCTATTTCGACAATGATGTTTTTACAATGCGAAGTTTTTAAATCGCTTCATTTTCGACGACGATATTTTGTACCACGACGTTTTTAGAACTGCGATGTTTTCTCTTTGCTTTCTTTTCTCCCACGATGTTTTGTACCACGATGTTTTCGCCTTGAGTAGTTTTCTCCGCGATGTTAACGAAAAATTTTCGACACACAATGACGTCACATTCGATCGCATGCTTTCTTAGAGTTAGAATATGACCATATATAATGACAATATGTTTAATATTTGGCAATTCTAATTTTATTTCATATTTTGTAAAACTGACAAATTTTTGATTAACAAACTCTAGGATTTGAAAGCCAGCAGTAGCAATACTTTTCGAAATAAAGCATTTTTATCTACAGCTCGTGCGACTGTTACCATACGAAAAATGAGTGCAAAAAATAGCGTTTTCTGAGGTTTCTAATTAATATCTCGGCTAATATCTCGGCTAAGTCGTACAAAAATGAGAATGGTCGAAATTGCTTCCCACGAACTTTTGGACTCCGGGGTACCTCTTTCACAACTCACCTCCCGCCATTACGGAGGAGATGATGTTACAAACAAACAGACCATTGCATAATTTAATAGAACAGATACAAACGAGAAACGCCTGTCCTTTTCGTTTAAACACAGTTAAATTTGAATTTAGCCTAAATTTAAGTTTGCCCACATTTATATTCGATACCGTTTTACGTCTTTAACATATATACATTTTTGTATAAAATAATAATAATATTTTATTGAAAAATACAGCTGAATAATACGTATTGTTTTCCAAAAGGATAAATTTATGTTAAAAATTTTATGCATTTATTCTTTTGTTTTAAAACTTGAACCTTGACTTCTCTTTCATTAAACAAAGCATATCACAAACAGTTTAGAAGGAATAATATAATACCGGGGTATCAGCTCTTTCGTGCTTCGTGACTAGAGTAGTGTAAGTTAAATGGGGACTCTCTGGCATTTGACTCTCTTCCATTGCTTCCGGTCCTTTCTCCGGAATGCTATTATCTTCGCTTTTAAAAGGAGGAGCTGGATCTGGAGTCACTATGATAGAATTTCCAGATTCGTCGCCCTGACCTTTGCAAGGGCTGGGTTCCACTTTCAAAGGAACTATCTAAATGGGGCGAAAGGAAGGATGAGAAATCAATGAGTGAAAGAATACATTTCAATTGAATAAATGCGCTGAACACAAAAAGGTTTAATGAACTGCGTATTAATTGGTTTAAAAATATGAGAATTACAAAAATAGGAATAAGGTCCAGATTACAAGAAGACATGCGTTGTGTTTTCACCTTCATGGATATTTTAATTTTAATATTTAACACTTTTAATTTCACTAGCAAATTAACATATTCATTTGCTGTCAAGCTCTTTTAGTAGAACGTGAATTTTCGAAGCATTAAGTACCTTTTTGCCTGTAAAAAATGAGATTAAATAATACAGAAGCTTTAAAGAGAATTAATTGCCGGAAGCAAATTAATTTTTTTTTCATTTAGTTTAAAAACATAATTAATATTTTGTTAGCATTCTACATAGACCACAATGTATTATTCATAAACTCAGTGAACTCTCGTTTACTCGAAGATACAAGGTCCTTATTAGGTATAACAGATTTTGAAGGAAAAAAAGTATATTAGAAAGAACGAAATTACTATTTGTAATTAACTATGTACTTGGCTTAGCTAGTACCCGCAACTATTCACTACAATTTTCTTCACTCCCATGAGGAACAACTTATTTTGAACTTCCACATTTTAATGTTCTCGAATTGTATCAGATTTCTAACATTTTCAAATACACTAAAATTCTGACTGTCTTTCAGTATATGTGAGATCAAAATCTAAACATACATAATTAGGATAATTTAAATCTAAATAAGTTCCATATTCTCAATAAATTAATGAAGGTCCTTCTGATTATATGTATCAAATTTTAAGGAAAATAATAATTTTCTAGACTAAAGAAGTTTTTCCCCCTACTAATATTAACTTGTTAATTCCAAATAACCCATCTTAGCAAAAATGATTCTGGAAAAGGTTTTGCGTATTAATGCGAAAACAAACGTTCTAAAGTACTGTGAAGATTTATCTATTTATTTTTGACTAATAGTTAATTTTGAGTGAAAGTACTTTTCTGTTACTCTCCTTTCTCACCCACGCTTTTCATGCCAATATAAATAAGATAGAAATCGTTTATTAAGAAGAAAGAAGAGCTATTTAAGTGAAGGTTTCGCAAGATAATTTTAGAGCGTGTTCTGCCTTCTTGAGGCCACGTTGTTACTGCGAATTAATAGCGATTTGTTTCTGTGGCTTTGAGTACTTCTAGTTATTAGGCTTGTCTCGCCGGTTTTTCACAAACCTTCCTGCTTGTGACTTTGTCCCGTCATTCCCTAGGCTGATCTAATTACATTTGATTTTAGTTCAATATTACTTGCCTAAGTTAAGTCAGATGTGTTGTGTAAACTCAAGTTGCGTCATTGTTACTTCTTTGTGTTCAAATAAAAGGGTCTTACTTACACCTTCTTCTCACTTTTGTTTGTATCATAAGACTAGAAGATAATTCTACAGTTTTTTTAAAGCTCTTTAGTATATACGTCCTAAGAATACTAGACTCTATAATACAAAATACATTAATCTCTTTACATCTGATATTTTGCATGAAATTTTGATTGTCAGGGTTACACCTTTAGTTTAGTGCGTCTCTTAAATCACACTTATAACTTCACGCTATATTTTTTTAATCTGGTTGTAAAACTGATAATAATATTATTTTTTAACACTGTTATATTTGATCTGGCCGATTTAAACTCTTTTACCATAATACATATGAAAAAATCTGATGTGTACACCACATGACTTGTACGGAATATTAAATTATACGCATTTTTTCTTGCATTTTATTTAAACTTATTAGATTGAACTAAACCTACTTCGCCGATAGCGCATAAACCACAATAGAATAAATGCATTCTTTAAAATTCACTTTGTTTACCATAGCGACACTCTGGCACTAGGTTTACTTAACAGTATTATATTTCATTCATATTATAACTCAGAATGCACAAAATGTATCTCATTTAAAGAATTATCTAATCGTTGCCACATGTTCTAATCAAATACTATAATAAAGCTAGAACGATGTATAAAAGAAATTAAGCAAACAAAACAAAACAGAAACAAAACAGAAACAGTTTTTCACAGACGATTGAGGATTTCTCATTTAATTAATTCAGTTCTCACTTCGCGACAAGGCAAAAATACATAAAAACTCAAAATATCTATATTAAAAATTACGAAGTAAATCTTCAAACGCTTATTTCCTCGAAAAAATTCCAGAAAGAATTAAGCATGATTTAATTGGCAATAATAAATGAATACGTTATCGTTGTTGTTGCGAAGCTAAGTTTCTCTAGATTGGCAACAAATGCACTAGTCTCCTGTTTCAAATGTAAACATCAATGGCCGCCATTAAAAAAGGCTTAGCGGCACTTAAACAACTTTAAAATTGCTTGATAATTCTAAAATATTGCACACAGATTTACTAAAGGCATAAAACCTTAACCGGAAGATAAAAACAACATAATTCAATCATTTTTAAAGCAAAAAATGTACAATTTACAAAACATATAAGAGTAAGGAAACTGAGATCACTGAGCCGGGTAACAGAGTGGATATATATATAATAAAAATATATTTATATACGTTTGGTGCGGCCGATTGCAACCAAAGTACGAGGTGCACATCTACATGTTATAGCAGTCCTATATACAAAATTTCAACGTTTTGAGGCTACTCGTTTTTGAGTTATGCGAGATACGTACGTACGTTCGTACAGACGCCACGAAAAATTCTCTTCAGAATTAATTTTAAAGCAGTTTTATAATTTTTTGAAGGAAAAGAGTATTTTATTCTGTCCTTACGTACAGATATCACGCACAAACATCGTTAAATTGCATTCGATAGCAGTCAAAATGGATATTTTCGTTGAAATATGCTGCCTGAATTTTTTCGCGATTACAATACTTCCTTTGGTGCTACTTTGGTAGACGGTTGCACGGATTTTGGCAATTATTTGGCGATTTTTCTTTTGGCGAGTAATACAACTTATGGTAAACCCATTGCTGGATAAGTTATTTATGGTAACCGATACTTTGTTGTCATTTTATTAAAAAAATAATGCGTTTTATTTTGCATAAATTCCCTGTTTTAAATATTATTTATGGCTTCTAAATATTAAAAATAAATTTAATTTTGCATTTTTATTTGAAACAAAACTTTTGTTGTTTATAATATTTGATATAATTTTATGTTCTGGATGATGTAACCAATGACGCCACCTTACTTAAAAAGTAATTGGTTTTATTAATATCTATAAATTTAATCTAATGTTTTAAACATTATTTATGGATGTTAAATATTAAAATACAATTTAATTTTGCATTTGTTTTAAAAATGATGTTATTTTGAATGATTATTTAAATAATTTTAATTCTATGCGTGATGCTCCCTGATTGGTTACTGAATATTTGTGCATTACCGCGCCATTTTAAAATTTTATTATTCATCTCTTGGAATTCCTCAGATTTCAAATGGAATGGCTATCTCCATTTGGAAGATGAATGTTGTTATTGGGAATTACCAAGAATTATTGGTATTGGAATAAAAAAATTGCCCTTTGAGACCTTATTTTGGCCAACCTGTCTTTCCTAATCAAAGATTTATTTGTAAATTGTTAATAGCGTCAGAGGAAATTTATTTTAAATTTTTGGAGGAAACCTCGCTAATTGCTTCTTCAATGAAGTGCGAGAAATGTAGATCACAGATGAAGATGGTTAAAAGAGCCGATTCAATTATGATTCCGATTTTTTCGTGGTACTTATCAATAAACATCAGGTTAAATTACTCAAAAAATGTAAGTACATATTTTTCCTTTATTTTATAATTGTATACTTCAATTTTTGTTAAAAAATTAATACTCTATTTTAAAAAATTGCTGTGATAATTATTGTCACATATGTTTTAATGTTAAATATATTCTATATAACGTATTTTAAAGTATTTGAATTTAATAATATTGTTGTGTCAAACTGGTTCGACCCACGTCAGAAGACGAGCGGGAGAAAACAACTTGAAGATCTTTAATGACGCGATCGGCAGCATTCTTCCCTTCATCGTTTAATTGCGCATTCTGAAGTAACTCTGATGTAATGTTTTCTGAAGACACGGATTCTTGGATGTTACTCTTTCTTTCAACGCTGGTTACTGGAGTACATGCTGCAACCACTTCACCTTTCTTAATAATTTCTTAATAAAACTTTTTGCGTGCGTACGGGTTCGTTATGAAATGAATGCACAAGTCCGATGAAAAATGAACAAATAATTTATTATTATCACAACATTTATTATTTTCTCAAATTATCATGCAGTATTGCAATATCTCACAGTAGTTATCTTTTAATTACTCAAATGTCCAATAGAACGTAATTCAAAACAGCTAAAGAACGCTAATCCGCGAATTCGCTACAATCAACAAGAGCAGTTTTCTAAACAACAACAAACTAAGCAACTACTAAAAACTGAGATATTTTCCTCCTTTTATAAGATTTTAAAATCACGCGCTAGAATTTTCCAGTACTTTCTCGAAATCAAAAAGAGATATTTATTTATTTAATGCACGCGCTCTTGTATTTTCAATTTTCCGGCTTAGCTTTCTTTTAATATTCGTCACGCGCTGCACTGCGCGAGAAAATAAAACCATTTAATTTATAATTGAACTAACATTAGCTTTTTAAATACCAAATTCGTAACACTGCCCCCTTCCCAAGGACTGCACGTCCCGGGCAGTACAATCCTTGGACAGGAAGCTAAACTTACAACTGTGGCATAAATGCATTAATAAGCATTACATTACAATAATAAACAACATGAGCAATAAATGCAATACATAAAACAAATCAAATGCTATCAAATACAAATCAAATACTAAATGCAAATCAAATATTAAATACAAATCAAATCAAAGACACATTTAAAAACAAAATGGACCATGGTACTATTACGACATTACTATTACTCTATGTACTATGGCCATAGTAATGAGCTAACCTGTCGTAAT